TTGTCAAGATTGCAAATCAATTTCCTCTGCTCGAAAGAATCTATCGTCTGCTTCAATCAATTTTCTCCAGTGCCTGTTAAGCCGTCTGTTTACTGCCAGATATTTTTTCCTTGTGTGATTTTACATATAACACTTTTTTATTTTTCATAATCATGCCTCCATCCAATTTTTCAGTCTCCTTATTTTTATCTTTTTCTTCCTCTCCGTCTATATCCTTCTCAAAGACTGTTGCTTCTTTATATAAACTTGATACGCTTGAAGTATAAAGTAAAAAGGCATAGTTAAGGTAAGAAAAGGTCAGGAATTCTTTGTATACGGTGGGAGGATTTTGATTTTTTTTTCTCTCTTCCAAGAAAAAAAAGGTAAGAATATGAAAAATCCCTGATCTTCTTTATCTTTCTTTTTCCCTTTTTCATTCTATGTTGTAAGTCGTATAGGCAAAATATTACTTATGCAGAGAAAATCTACGAATATATGTGCTGACAGTCATGTACTCGCGGAAGCATACAATAAGTCTAGAAAAGACAAAACGTATGTTTTTGACAGCATCCAGACATTTTACATGACGTTGATACAGCATCGTTTTTTTTTGGTTTGCACATGCGCAAAGATAACAATGACTAAAACCAAATGACCTACGAAAAAGATTCTGCAACCTAGACACCAGATGTTCGAATCTAATCTCTTTTATTATGCGTATAGGTAACAAACCCAATTTCCAACACAATTACATACCAACATATATGGCATATTAAAACACGTCCAAACTTTATTTTCTACCCAATAACATATATTTGCAAAATGATTCCACGATACAACACACAGTTAAAGTAACAATTGGTTAGAAATTAACAACACCATGTGAATAATTTGACTAGAGAAGAGAGAAGGCTAAAACCTTATTTTTTCTCAAGTCTACTTTCTGGAAAAAAAAATTCTTATAAAACCACCACAGATTTTGACTTTCAGCAGCAGGGATGCGACTTGAAGCCATTCAATCACAAGAGAATATCCGGCTTCATAGCTTTTTAAGCGCGTGCTGAAAGAAACATGTGTAGGTGACTTCAAACGAATCATCTCCGACAGCAACGGCTAGGAAGGTCAGTGAATCTTCAGTGACGATCAAAGGATTTTTCTGTGGATCGAAGACTTTAACTAAAGACTATTTTTACTCCTTTTTGGCTCTTTTGAATTCAAGTGTATATGTCTGTGAATAGAAATGGTTTATTTAACAGGCACACCCATGTTTCCTTTATTTATTTATTTTTACGATTGTTTGGACGTTTGGATTTTTAACATAAAAAAAAAAACACTGGACGATAGAATTTCGTACACGAGATATAAAAATATATATAGAATGAATAATGAATGTTTAAGGTATAGATTTAGCGAAACGTGAATGATTTTTAAATTTATAGCAAATATAAAATAAGTAATTAATTTTTGTTCTCAGTCGTTTACTAGCAAAATTACTGACGCTAATATAAAAGTTTTGTTTTGGTTTTGTAGCAACTTGCGGTGTTAGGCGAAACTACCTCTATTGCAGCCTATTCTATATTCAATTTCTTTATCTCCTTATATTAAATTTGTTGTAAGTTACCCATACACCGAGGTATTCGAAGTGTTTAGTATGCGACACAAGGGCTACAGGGTGTGAAAGAAGATTTAAGAAGGAACCGGAAGGCCATTCAAAAACCGGAAACAGAGAATAAACCTCTATACTTGTTTGACAGTGGGAAACGGACGATAGGCTAACCTATCCACTCCTATTGAGGAAAAGAAGTTAACAAATAAATAGTAAATAAATTTTCAGAGTTTTAAGCGGAGACGTTAGAAGTATAGAGTTGAAGTAGACATTTTAGAAGGAACCGGAAACCCAATCCTAAACAGGAAGCAAGGGATAAACCTCTACTTCTGGATTTTTATGATGGCTTCAGATTAATAATTGGTGCTAAATTAATTAAAAATAAAACTCCTTTATAAACAATTAGCAGATCTTAGTCTGCGCGAAGTGTACTTACGTCATCCTAAGATTTCGAGGTAGCACATTTAATTCTGTCAGAAGACATGATAAAGCCTCTGTTTTCTTGAATTCCAGTCTACTGCCCTGACCAGTGAGCCATAAGAGCTGTTCGATTTTTTTTTCTTCTGTCTCATCAACGTTGTTCTGTTTAAAGTTAAACTGACGTCTCGGCCGTGAGTGACACTTCCAACTTCATGCATTTCATTTAATTAGCTGAACTAATTAGTTTGTTGTTAGTTTTTTCTTAATTATTTTATTCTAATTGGAATCCACAAAAATAGTAAATAAATAAAACCATGCAGAAATCCGTGCCCGTCAGTAAGGCAATGTTTCCCCGAATTTTACAAGTTCGATAAATTGGCGGGATAACCAGTTATTACATTTATTTATTTATTTATTATGTATTCGGCATTTGTACGTTCAAAAGACTCACAGAAATTCGTCTGTCCCATAATATTTAATACGATTAGCATTAGAAATTTGTTCTGAAATATTTGTCACATCTAGTATATAAAGCCAAATATTTGTGTGTCCGTTCGAAAACCTGATAATTAAAATCATCAGCAAAAGAGACTGTCCAAAAGTGTGAGCTACATATTGGGAACGTCAAAATCATTCATTGACGGAAGTTTAACTATCTCGTTAGTGTCATCGCAGACGGCTGAAAATGTGACACCGAAATCCGAAATTTGGAACAGCGAAAGACGCCTTCCAAAAACTAAGCAAAGTATTAAGAAACAGGTAAATTTCCTTATAAACAAGGAAAAAAATTACTGTTCAACTACCCCGTAATGTCAATAGATGTCCACTTACATGGCAATGAATGCTAGACCATTTCCTTATAGATGAAGAGAAGACTTGAGGCTATAGAGATGTGTTTCTACGAAAGACACAGTTATGGGTTAAATAGTAGAGCAAATTTAGTTCTTCAGGCTTGGTTGGCAACCATTCTATAGATGGTGACTCGATAAGAATCACTCACCTTCCAGCAAGCCTAGACCACTGGATACATCGGCCCGTGAAAACGTACAGTGGCCAAATTTCTTCAGTCGTGTGAGTCAAAAATTGGGAATGTGAAACTCAATTAAATACAGAAATTTAATTATCTGGGAAGACGAATGAACATATGACACCGCAATCCGAAGTTTTACTGGAATAGTGAAAGATCCCAAAAGCTAAAAAATATATTAAGAAAAAGGAAAATGTCATTAGGAACAACAACAAAAAGTGCTGAATTGCTATGTAATATCAATCCTCTTATATAGCAATGAATGCTGGACAATTTCCTCACAGATAAAAGGCAATATATATGTGGTTCTATTGAAAGATGCTGAGAATACCATGGACGCAACATGCAAGCAACAAGAAATTTTAAGAAAAATAAGATTTATTTTTTTGTTTTTCTATGCGTGGTTGAATCAAAAGTTATTTTTTATTCGTATTTCAAGTTTTAATTAGCGTATACATTCGCGTATCATTCGACTTCTGAAGACTTTTGAAGGGGGGTCACACCATAAACAAGATATAAAATTAGCGCATGTACTGCTGGTCCTGGCTACGTCGTTGACCAAAGTATGTATCCATATCAAATTAGCTTCAAAATTAGATCTTCAAAAGTCGAAGGATACGCGAATGTATACGGTAATAGTTCAAATGAATTAAATACAAAAAGTGTTTACTTATTCAAATATATCCTGTTATATTCTATTGTTTGTTGCCATCGTTATGCCAGATGCTCAATTCTAAACTTATAGCATTTGGCTGGTTTAGAGGCCAAAAATTCATTGCACCTGTATTCAACCTCATCCACATTGTTGAAACTCTGTCTGGAAATGGACCCGGTAAAAGGTGGTAATCTGATTGTGCAAAGTCTGGATTATAAAAAGGTTGAGCATCATTTCCAGCCCCTCAAGTTCATCAAATTTGCATTTGGTCACATTGGCAGTGTGTACAGGAGCATTTTCATTCTATAGACGTGTGCCTCTTCAACTGACCGATGCCAAGTAGTGGGCTTTCAAAATATACTCGCTGCAGTTTTTGAGCAAAGTTCAGCGTTCATAGCATGACTATGTGGGTCAAAGTTAGAATGTGACACTCCCTCGAAATTCCACCAAACATAGAATCAGTCTTGTTTGCCAAATGATTCCGAAGTCTGGCTGGAATAAAGCCACTGATTTCTCTTAATAGGATTACGAAAATAGATCAATCTTTCATCCGCCAATTTTTCGACGCCAAAAAAAAACGGGCACCTTGATAATTTGCCAGAAGTTGTTTGTAAATGTTCGCACGTCGCCGAGCCTGGTCATTGGTCAGTTCACGCGGAAATTCTCGACAGCGTCTGTTGATGAGGCCGAGTTTATGGAGGTGTCGATTGATGGTGTTTTTGAAGGATCCAGTTCCACCAATGTGCACGAGTGCTTGGTTGTTGTTCAGTCATTTCAAACAAGGTCTTATCTTTCACAATAGAAGCTCTCCCTGACTTTGGTTTGTCTTCGAGCCTGGGTCCCCTTCCTTGAAATGTCTGGGCCAGTTTTGTGACACACGTTCGTTGACAGTTCCTGGGCCTTCCACATCATTAATTTCTTTTGTCGTTGCCCTTACACTCGGCTCTTTTCCCACAAGCAGCGTAAAATGGCCGTAATTGCAATTTTTTCAACATTCATTATCAAAGAATAAAGAATTAATGTTTATATGTTATACAGTAATGCCTTGAGATACAAGTTTAATTTGTTCCAAGACCGAGTTCGTATCTCAAATCACTCGTATCTCAGATCAGTTTTCTCAACTGAAATTAATGTTAATATTTCCGATCTGTTCCAGGCCGCTAAAAATCAAACTTATTTTCCTAAAACCCACCCCTATTCTTTGTACATGCGGCCTTCTAACAAGCAAAAACGGGTGGATAAACAAGAAATATAGCTTAAAAATAATAAAATAAAAGAGAAAAAAAAAACAAATAGTAAAGAAATAAACTGTACTAAACCATGAAGTTCAGACAGCAGATGATAGAGAGAGAGGGAGAGAAAGTGAGGGAGAGAGATAGAGAGAGAGAGGGAAAGAGAGATAGAGAGAGAGGGAGAGAGATAGAGAGAGAGGTAGAGAGAGATAGAGAGAGGGAGAGAGAGTTAGAGAGATAGAGAGAGAGAGAGGGAGGGAGAGAGATCTTGATAGAGGGAGATAGATAGATAGATAGATAGATAGATAGAGAGAGAGAGAGTGGGTGTGGGGGGACAACAACAGTTACCCTAGCAACCGATACCGAGCTTCCGGTTTCTTGCTTCCGTGCCACCTACGATCGTCAAAAAAAATTTAAATGCTAAGTCAACCTCCATCTTGTGCCTTTCTGATACTTGTTTTTTGATTATCACTTAATTTTTAAATTTTTTTAAAACTAATTTTTTAAAAGTTTTATAATTTTTTATTTATTGTCTATGTAGAACGCTTATACTGTCTCGCCAAATACATTACTCGTACGCTTTCTTCACATTTTTAAAAAAATAATTTCCCGTTTTACCTCAAGCAAAATCATACGTTTCAGCTTTTCACCACTGCTCTTTATAATTACTTTCTTCGGGCCCATGGTTTCACTGAAGGAATTTTACAAAATAACGGCAAAAATGACACAACACAAAAGAGATTCTTTCTGGACGGGGTGAACACGTGTACTGCGAGGGTAAATACTCTCCAAGCTTGGCGCCCACTGCGCAAATTAGCGGATATTTAACTGAAACATGGTAATAGAATTGTTTGGTACGTAGATGTGAACGTATTACTGGGTTGGCAAATAGGTCCCCTCGTTTTACTGTTAAAATAGATGTCACCGTAAGTTCTATTCTAGTGATTTCTCTTTTCGCATTTCTCACCTGTGGAACATCCTTCTGGTTTCTTGCTTTCGCGCCACCCACGATCGTCAAAAAAACATTTAAATGCTACGTCAACCTCCATCTTGTGCCTTTCTGATACTTGTTTTTTGATTATCCTTTCTCCTCACTAAAGTCTTCTCATTCTCTTTTACTTTCAGCAATCCATTGCGTCTTAGTGGCTTATAATTTTATAAAGATAAAGATGCTTGGGGTGAAATGATAAAAAATCGGTCATTCTAAATTTTTCTAAACTCTGACAGTAAATTAGGTTGATGGCTTTAACGACACATTTGTAGGTCATTCAATGTCAAATATTCTTTATATGTTCATTTGATTTATTAGTAGCTTAAAAGAAGCACCCGGTGCGGATATTCAAACTAGCTCCTGCTGAGGGGTAATTGGGCCTCCAGCTCAAAAGTAAAGGAACCTATGGTCCAGCTTAGAAAAAAAAAACAATGATAATTTTGAAGAAATAACTTCGAATTCCTCAATTAATACTATGGTACTTCAAATCCACACTTTAACTCTGATTCGGGCTATAAGGCCGATTTGGGCCGATAGTTCGCTTTGGGCCAAAATTTCAGTTCGGGCCAATAATTGAGTTCTTCAATTGAGTTGAGTTCTTCAAATGACAAACACTGAGGAACTTCAAAACCTAATGTCACGAAACCTCTCACTTGAACTTTGTCATTTTGAAGAAAAAAAAATTGATTTCATTAATTCACAAAGTTTTGGAGATATTTTAAACTTAATTTAAAACAATTTTTTTTCTAAATTCACGAAGTTTTTGTGTTACTTTAAACTCAATATAAATTAAAAACTTTTAAAATCACTAATTTTTTTATAGTTATTTTAAAATTTGAATGTTTAACAATTCCCTCTTCATCCGGACACAAGTCCCAATGTTTGATGTTCAAGCACCAGATGAAGGGCAGCTTTTAAATCTCGAGATTATCCTGATTTTAAAAAAGGTATATGTTTATGTAGAGCAAGTGTGGCCCGAGTTAGGGGGGTTTCACACACATGGACGGACAGACAAAATTTACCGTTTATTTATTTAGATTATTTTTTCAAGAACGAAAATTCTTATATGAATTATTTTAATGTCAGTCTTTCTACATTAAATGCCATCAAGATAACTTTTTGAGTAATTTTTGCACGTCAAGATACTATAATAATATGACAGAATGTATGACTATTAGAAAAAGGAGAGCCCAACATGCGAATTACAAATTGGAGATGCCAAAATGCGGCAAGTACTAAAATTTGCATATCTAGGAATTATTTTAATAGGGGACGGAAAATGTGACATTGAAATCCGAAGGCGAATAAGTATCGCGAAAGATGACTGCCAAAAGCTAAGCAAAGTATTAAAAAACAGGAAAGTTTCATTAGAAACAAAGAAAAGAGTACTGAACACCTATGTAATATCAGTCCTCTTATATAGCAGTGAATGCTGGACGATCTCAGATGAAGAATAAACTTGAGGCAACAGGAAGGTGGTTCTACAGAAGGGTGCTGAGAATACCATGGACTGAACATGTGAGCAACGATTAAATTATAGAGAAAATGAAAACAAAAAGGACACTTATACTCAACGTTAGAAAAAGACTATTAGATATTTCTATAGCACATAATGAGAAAAGAGGGCTTAGAAAATTTGACACCCATAGGACAAATTGAAGGCAAGAAGAACAGAGGAAAGCAGCGAATAACCTATCTAACGAGTTTTTGCATATGGTTGGCATAACAACAGGGATTAGGAGAGACAGCAAAAGGACAAAATTTACTAAGCGCTACAAAGGATAGGAAATTGTGGAGAGCCATGATCATCAACATTCTGAAGTACACGACACAAAGAAGAAGAGAAAGAAGAAGAATGAGCTCGTGTACATGGTTGACAGAACAGGGATTAGGAGAGATAGCAAAAAGAAAAACTTTATTAAGAACAGGAAATTGTGGAGAGCCTTGATCGCATCGTCCTAAAATGGTACGGCACATAAAAGAAGAAGAATATATATAACATCAACGATGGTTTTACACAAAAATAAATAAATCTTTCATAGTGCTCGATACCAAGAGATAGAGCATTATCCTGTTTTCATTTGGAGAACTGGAAGTGATATCGAAATATGCAATAGATACATATACACAGGCGTTAAACATACTTATCCCCTTTGTATTCCATTAGTAAGGAGGAAATTCAAATCAGACCCGCTTCTATTCAAGAGAGTCTCCTTTATGGAACCGACTCCCAAAAGGATCCTTTCCTTACTACTTCGATCTTAACCTCTTCAAATCTAGTGTCTATCCTACTAACTTCATAATCAACACATAATTTTCTTTTACATTGAGCCGACACCTCAATTAGTAACCTCGGGTGAATCTTCGGTGAATACTTAGTAAAAAAAATAAAAATGAATATAAAAATACCAACAGGTGAAATGTTTTCAGCCCTGTTGTTACCCCCCAAATAGATAAAATTTTACTAGCCTCTTGCAACTCTATCGCTATTTCCATGATAAATGTTAAGAAGATCTACATTCCTTGGTATCACAAGTTCAGACCTTCACAGTTAGGGCTCGCCAAGCCATGTATATGGGAAAGGATCATCTCCGCCAACTCTACTTGTTTGTTTGTTTAATTTTGTTTAGTGACATATCAACACCTCTATGGATTACTTAATGTATAAATCTAAATATTTTGAAGACAGTTTTATGGCTTCAACTAAATATATTTTAAACGCAGCTGCATGCTGTCAACTACAGATAAAATGTTGGTCATTTTGTTTTAAATGTGTATTGTTGGTAATTTTACTATGAATAGGTATTGTTGGCTGGTTGATTTTGTTTAGCGGCATATCAACCTCCATGAGTTATTTAATGCCGAAATTTAAATATTTTGATCTTACAACTACAGATAAAATGTATTGTTGGTAATTTTGCTATAAAATTTATTGTTGGTATTTCTGCTTTAAGAATTTATTGTTGGTAGTTCTACTATAAATATGTACCATTGGTAATTTTTTACTATAAAAATGTATTACTGGTTTCTTTACTATAAAATATAATTTCATCCTTTCATATTGTTTAGGGGTTCACTGTTTGCCCATAGTTGGGACCCTAACAGGTGCTACCACCCAAGATCAGTGTGGATCGGGGAACAACAGCAATTGCGTGGTGGTTCCACACTCCCGATTAGAGACATTGCTGCCAGGTGTAGTTTATCGTTATACCCAGGACTATTGTTATTCCATTAATAAAAGGAAGTTGCATTAAGACAGCTTCTTTCCAAGAATCGCCATTTTGTGGAGTAGACAACCGAGTGGGTGCTTCTTCAATGGCTACTCGTCCTGGGTATGACGATAAACTACATTCAGCAACAAGGCGTCTCATCGCGAGTTTTTAAGGAGCGTGGAACCGCCTCTTAATTATTGCTGTTCCCAGGTCCACCCCGACCCAGGGTTTTAGCACCTGTTAGGGTCCCAATTATGGGCAAATAGTTAACTCCCTAAACTGGGATCAAAACACTATGAAAGTATAAAATATATTTTATAGTAAAAATACCAGCAATACATTTAATAGAAAAAATACATAGAAAAAAAATTACCAGGAATAATATTTTGAAAAAAAAAAAAATAACAGAAATCCATTTTTATAAAAAAAATTACTAATGCTCCCAAGAAAATTAAATTTCCGCATTAAATAACCCATAAGGAGCATCCTTCTGTAGAACCACATTGTTGCCAGGTTCCATATGCCAAAATCCGATTGCTTAATTCTTGACCTCAGCAAATCTGGGGTCAGTCGTTATCCATCCTACATATCCTCTGTTATATTCCGTGCTAATAGGAATATGGAATGGACAAACACGGTGGGTAAATAGTAACAGGTTTATTGTACAAACGAGTACAACAAGCAAGGAAGTAATAGTTATACGCACGGTCGTCGCAAGTCAGTACAGTTGAGTGAGTGCTGTTATCGGAAGGCCGCTAGTCTCGCAGATCCCAGCTCGACGCTATTTAGTAACAGCTCCACGCAGTCACATGTAGCACAAGGTCGAATTTAAAGTGGGGTTCCCGTGCCCGGAGGCTAGGCCAAAAAATCCCCGTAGACCCCGCATAAACGGGATCGGGTCTGTCTACCTTCCCGGATGAAACTCTGCCCTTCGGCATAACCTCGTCCGGGTTCCTCTCTGCCATGGGGCAGAGAGTTCGACTAGCGCAGCTGGGAAAGATCCCGGCGCGACTCTCCTGTCCACTGTCTTAACGGATACTTATAGGTGGTTACCACCTATAATGCCGCCACTCATGGGGGTGGCAAGTTATCCATCACATTATCCTCATAACCAACGCTTCTTATTTCCTCTTCTTACGCTCTTACAATAACTTCAGTCAGTAACCCTTGACTTTGTATCGATCTTGGACCTTATATTTGGTGATCGGTTAGTAAAAAATAATATTAAAACAAAATAATTAGCCTAAACTAGTCTGTAAGGCTAGCGTGTGTCATCGCAGGCCAGGTACACTGCAGTAGGTGTACAACTGGCTTCTCCGCTCGAACAAGGTTTCTTATCTGTCAATATATTCGTTAATTGATGTAGAGAGAAAGGAACAGAAACGATGTATATTCCGAAGAGCTGAAGGGAAAGAGGAGGGACAATTGGTCATGCAATGCCAGTAACCTTGAAATAATAGAGTTGATTGATGTTGGCTCGCTTTTCCGACAAAATTCACTGATTTCCACGCGCGTAACATGTGAGCGGAAGCCAATTGAAACCGTCTCGAGCGTACGGCAGCCGACATTATTGGCCTTTCTGATTTGAGCATGCGCGCGAAATACCGTCACGCGACAAGTCATTACCGAGACGCCAACCAGCCGCCAGGTTTCTATTTGATTATTCTGAAGAGAGAGAGAGAGAGAGAGAGAGAGAGAGAGAGAGTAAGCGAAATAGAATGAGAGATAGAGAGAAAGAGAAAAAAAGAGAAAGAGACAGAGAGAGGTGGGGATGGGGCAGGTGACAAACTCATTTAATTATCTTTCCAATTCAGAGGAATAATACGCAAGCCTGAAAAAAAATCGCATTTGGTACATATATCTCGTATCCATTTTTCTCTTTTAAAATTCTTGTTAAAGGGAATAGTTTTATTTTTTAAATCTTTTTCTGACCATCACATTATTTCTTCTTTCACGTCAACGCGAAATTGTACACCACTTGCACATCCACAATCAAACAAAATGCGAACAAAAAGGACATTTATATCTAAAATCAAAAAGCGAAAGTGAGAGAGGAAGGCTTAGAGAATTTAAAAAAAAATTCTTTGCCTCATTGTTATTATCATTATGGGCACGTGTCCGAGTGGTTAGAGCGTTCGTTTCTGACCATGGGACCCGGCTTCGATATCTCATCATGGAAGGTGACTTCTTGATGTTGTCGGTCTGGGAGAGGTGATCCCAGCATACGGCACCTTTGGAAAGTGGCTGAAAAATCATATCACCAGTTGACCCAACCCTTGTGAGTGAAATTAGATGGACGGAACTCTTTGGTACCATCGTTGGTTGTGCTAGCACGAAGTCACAAGTCATCGTGACCGAGAGTTTGAGCGTGGCCTTGTTCAATAACAGATAACGCATAATTGCAGTGTAAATCACAGGTGGGCTCTCTGGATGTTGAACAAATATAAATGTGCCTGAGAAGGCATCTGCAACAAGGATTGGCTAGCCGCCCTAGTAGACAGGTATCTTTAGATATGAATCGCCTACCATTATTATTGTTGTTTTCGGTTTGGTCAAGTCTTCGGTCTTTCTATGGAGGTTTATCAAATTAGGAAGAATTTTTTAACGCCATATCATTTTTCAGGTTGTCCTTGAGCGAAACCTGGGCGACATATGCCAGGCAGGAAAACTGACCAGACACCTTGCATATCCGCTGCGTATGACATATTCTCAGTATGACATGGAGAGATAAAATTACCAAAACTGCTGCGCTGTATAGCAAGCAGATTCCCGGTGCATTTATTTTCTGGGTATGACGATAAACTACATCCGGCAGCAAGGACTCTGATCAGGAGGTTCGTGGAACTACTTCTTAATTGTTCTAGTTCCCAGTTCCAACCTGATCCAAGGTTGGTAGTACCTGTTATGGTCCCTGCTATGGGTAAATAGTGAATCCTCAAATCAGGGTCAAATAACGATGAAAGTATAAAAATAGATGTTTATATTAAAAGAACCAACAATACATTTATGAAAAAATATTACCAGCAAGACAATTAAAAAATATTACCGGCAATACATTTAAAAAAATATTACCAGCAAGACAATTAAGAAATATTACCGGCAATACATTTAAAAAAATATTACCAGCAATACATTTAAAAAAAATATTACCAGCAATACATTTTTAAAATAATACCGGCAATACATTTAAAAAAAAATTGGCGGCAATACAGTTCTTCTGTAGTTTATTGCTGCCTATTCCCTACGGTAGAAGTTTGCTTCGCAAAAAGAAATTTCCATCAACAGAGGATCAGATTGTAATCAAATCAAATGCTGCAGCGAGGTAAACAAAGTCCCGTGCAAATGAAAACCCAGATCAAACGGCAGCCAGTCAGTAGAGCTTGCAATCCAATGAATTAGAGATTACCAAACTCCTGAACAAGTCGAAGGCTCAACCAAGAACCCTCCGCGGGAGCTAGCTTAATTGCTGCACGATAGATCGTCTTTTAAGCTAGTAAATAATAACTACATAAAATGAACAAAGAAAATAAAATTCAACAACAATAACATTTACTCACATTAATTTATTAAGTATTTGTCGGAACTTTTCCCGGTTGCATGTGTGTGTGTGTGTGTGTGTGTGTGTGGTGTGTGGGTGTGTGTGTGTGTGTTTGGCATTGTGAGTGGAATGAACAAAATACAAGGCTCGAAATAATTGCTTAACAGCTTTGCTTTGTGGTTGAAAGATAAAGTGCAAAATAGTGGCATTTTATGGGGAAAATGTGAGGTTTCCCAGTTAAGAAAGAATGTCCCCCTGAGTGGACGTTTCACTGCTAGGACGGGTACGTGTCTTCTGCAGCAAGGGTTGATCGCAGTTTCTCCTTTGGGTAGGTGTTTCGATGGGAGATTTCTCCGTTTGTTCCTACGAGGAACGAGAAATCTGAAGTCAAGCTACCAGGACAAGTCACATGTCTTCTGCAGCAAGGGTTGAGAGTAGCCCTTCGATCTGAACCTTGAAGGTAGCGGCCACTGTAAAAGTGGAAAAAAGACCGAATAGGGCTCGGTAAGCGTTTTTATGATTTCTGGGACTTCCGGTTGTTCCCTGCTTATTACTTCCGTTTCTGCTACTGCTGAATCGAGCAAAATAAGGAAGCCCCTTCATGCCACATTAGCCAACAGGCGACATAGTTCCTTTCCATTAAATTACATAACTTAGCGTTCTCCATATTTTACCTTGACTTACACAGATTAAAACCATTTTAGAGCGTTCTTAAATTTAAAAAAAATGAAAACTTAATGATATTGTTCCTTCTGTTTACAAATATGCATACATGCTGCAAAATAAAATCCTTACATTTACCTTAAAAGTTGGTTGGTTTGTTGACTTTGTTTAGCGGCATATCAACACCTCTATGGGCCATTTAACGCCGAAATTGAAATATTTTGAACACACTTTTATGGCTTCACATAATATATATATTTTAATGCAGTATGTTATTTTGCTAATAAATAAGTACTGTTTGTTGGTTGATTTTGTTTGGCGGCATATCAACACTTGTATGGGTCATTTAACCCCGAAATCTAAGTATTTTGAACACACTTCAACTAAATAAATTTTTAACGCAGTATGTATTTTTTGCTAATAAATAAGTACTGTTGGTTGGTTGATTTTGTTTGGCAGCACATCAACTCCTCTATGGGTCATTTAACATCGAAATCTAAATATTTTGAACACACTTTTATGGCTTCAACTAAATATATTTTTAACGCAGTATGTATTTTTGCTAATAAATAATTACTGTTAGTGGGTTGATTTTGTTTGGCGGCATATCAACATCTTCATGGGTCATTTAACGCCGGAATCTAAATATTTTGAACATACTTTTATGGCTTGAACTAATTATATTTTTAACGCAGTATGTATTTTTGCTAATAAATAATTACTGTTGATGGGTTGATTTTGTTTGGCGGCATATCAACACCTTCATGGGTCATTTAACGCCGGAATCTAAATATTTTGAACATACTTTTATGGCTTGAACTAAATATATTTTTAACGCAGTATGTATTTTTGCTAATAATTAATTACTGTTGGTAGGTTGATTTTGTTTGGCGGCATATCAACACCTTTATGGGTCATTTAACGCCGGAATCTAAATATTTTGAACACACTTTTATGGCTTCAACTAAATATATTTTTAACGCAGAAAATAATTACTGTTGGTGAGTTGATTTTGTTTGGCGGCATATCAACACGTCTATGGGTTATTTAATGTCGAAATTTAAATATTTTGTACATAATTTTGTACTTTCAGGGTTAAGGTATGTTTTTTGGTATATAATTTGTAGATCATAAAATGTTGGAAATTTTATTATAAAATGTATTTTTATATTTTTTATGTTGCATTGATTGTCATTATGTTATTTTTTTCGCGAAATACGTGTGTGATGCTTTGTGCGTACATCATCAGTAACGTTTTTAGCCGAGGTTCGTGAGGGGTTTCAGATCTTTCAACATCATACCCGCTCTCGACGGTGATCCAGCCCATCAGGTATCAACTTGTGTGCCATCCGTCAGCTACAATATTCCAATGTATTCTTGCTCATTTTATTATAAAAAAATATACTGTTGATTTTTGTTTGTTGGGGAAGGTTCACTATTTGCCCATAGCTGGGGGCCTACCAGGTACTACCACCCCGGATCAGGGAGCAATAACAGTGAAGAGGTGGCTCCACGCTGCTGAAAACCGCCAATCTCCCGATCTGAGGCCTTCATGTCGGACGTAATTTATCGAAATACGCAGGACGAACTTTACAGGGTATAAAACGCGTTGGTAAAGAAAAGTTTTCCCTTTCAATTTTCTTTTATTCATTGATTTTGTTATAGATCCTTTGTGCACCATATTTAAGATCGCCATATTTGCCAGGCGGTGATAGTTTGTTCCAGCAGGTTAACGCTGCCTATTCTCCCATCGTTTTCAGGTGACACGAAACATGTTCCGAGAACGCTCAGCTCACTTCCAATTTGATCTTACAACTACAGATATAATATATTGTTGGTAATTTTGCTATAAAATTTATTGTTGGTATTTCTGCTTTAAAAATTTATTATTGGTAGTTCTACTATAAATATGTACCATTGGTAATTTTTTACTAGGAAAATGTATTACTGGTTTCTTTACTATAAAATATAATTTCATCCTTTCATATTGTTTAGGGGTTCACTGATTGCCCATAGTTGGGACCCTAACAGGTGCTACCACCCAAGATCAGCACTCGCCTGGTTTAAATCCCATTGAGCATGCATAGGATATGCTGAAGTCTTCTCTAGAATTCCTGCAACAAATAAACCACAGTTACAAACAGCCTCCGTACGTGTCCGGATAGCTACGCCCACGCAGTGACTCTATAATTTGTCGCGTAGACACCGTTATTCAGGGAAAACATTAATTCCATAAGGCGCAATCAGTCATTCTCCTGGGGGTTAGCATCAGCCATGCTGATGGAAGACTTTTAATAGAAGACGGAAAACGTGGTCACCGAAGTCAGAAGGCACATTGGAATAGGGAAAGATGCCATCTGAAAAAAAAGAATTAATGTATTAAAAAATGTATTAAAATATCGTTTAAAACAAAGAAAATAGC